TTTCATGTGTTGTAGGCACATTTACTTAATCAACATTTGTCTGTACTCTCTAATCTAGGGCAATCTCTTCAGGCTGAAGAGCCCATGTCTGCATTTTTTTTGGCATACTGAAGCCTCCCACTGACTGCCAGGAGGGCTGTTAGGTCCAACACGCATAAAGATTGAAGCATTTTATTCCTTCAGGAATGGTGCTGCCAATTACAAAACTTTGTCTTGAAGGCAGGACAAAACAACTCTCTAGGAAAACAGAAGAGACAGTTACCATCCTGTGTAGCTTGCAAGGCCTGATGGTGTAGCACCTAGATGTACAGAATTGCCCACAGAAGAGCCAGGGACATGCTTCTGACACAAACTATTCTTCAAAGAACCTTAGGAACAAAGACCCGATCATCAAAATTAATTCAAAGATGATCTTATCTTTTATTTCATAAAAGGAATCATTTGTAAATCCATTTCTGTGAGGAAAAAGTTAAATCTGAACAGCTTTTTGTGCCAAATTCTTTATTTTAAACACAAGGAGTGCCCATTGGTACCTAAGACTAGTTCATGCAATAGCAGCTGCAGTGATGATTATTTTTTTTTTGCCACGTGAGAAAAATTTACACTGAAATGTGGACTAAGGCTATGTCAAAGGTAAAATAAATAAACTATATAGCCAATAGCCAGCCAAGAAAATAAGAGCCAGCACATCAATCCTCTGTGCTGTCGAACCACTCACTGTCTGGTTTTCACATTCTCAGCTTGTTCAGATTTTTTCTTTATAAACTCAAATGTCTGCTGAGACTTGAAGTAGAAGAAAAGTTGTGGTTAAACACGTTTTCTGTCCATCCCCATTCTTTGAATAATCAGATGTAAAACAAACAAACTATGAAATCTCTCTTCCAGCAGAGAGAGTATCACAAAATAAATTGCAGTTAAACTGTAGCAACAGAACTGTCCATTTCTTCCAGGCAGATGAAATATAAAATATGCAGTAATGCTTACAGCACTTGCTAATTATTTAACAGAGGGATTTTTGACATGAAACACGTTTAAAAACTGAAAAGCTTCACTAGGCCTGACCAGAACATTTAAAATAGATTTTTATCAATGATGATTCAGCTGAAACCTACACAGTATTACAGACAGACCCTTGTGCAAAATGTGTTCTTAGCAACAAAAAACCACAACAAACAAACCATAGTATCATGTACCACTAGCCTGAAACAAAAAGGATTTCTAAAGACTGGCCAGGAAGCAGCAGTGTCAAGACTGGGAGGGGATTTCCAGTTCCACTTTGTCTAAACTTCCAAGTCATTCACTTGTCTCCCAGTTTCACTGTGCCTCAGTTTACTCAGCTTTAGCAGCAATCTTTGCACACTCTGTGAAACTCTGGAGTTGAGGTGCTGTAACACACCATAATTTCCAATGAGTGTCATTTACAGTAACATTTTATTGTTAATCATTCAGCATCCCCTCTCCTTAATCATCTTAAAGTCTGGGTTTTGCTGGGGTTTGCTTTTTCTTTTTCATTGGAGCTGCACAAATCCGTTTAGCAGCCAGCTGTCCTTATGTCCCTCTTTCGAGCTGGTGTCACCACTTCAGCACCATCCATCCATCTTCTTCTGCAGTGTGTACTCCTTTCCTAGAGGCTGTAAATTTCACCTGACACTAATGTTGCTCATTCAGCATGGTTGTTTAGGAGAAAAAAAAAAAAAAAAAAGGACTATGAGGAAATGTTGACATCACTACTTGCCTTTTTTCTCCGGACATTTCTTAAACAGATACATTGGACTGAAAATGAGAAGGGATCAGGGACTGCAGTCTCCCAGGGTCTCATGAAGACAACTAGAAAAAATTACTGATGATCAAATATTGAACAGATTAAGAAGTTGGTTAGCTGCAAAAAAGAGAGAAGACTGAAGGTACACATGCTCACAGTCTTCAAAATACATAAATTCTATGGTAAAAAGGGAAAGATCCGTTCTCTACATGGATACAGCAAGAAGTAATGGGCTTAAACTGCACCTAAGGAGTTTCTAATTGGAGGCAACAGAAAACTGTCCTACGCTAAGGGAAGTGGAGCACTAGAAGAGATGCCTGAGGAGATTATAAAACCCTGTCCCTGAAGATCTTTGCATAACTGGGATATTTACCAGAAAAGAGATAAGGAGATTGCATCTTGCTTTATGGTAGTAAAATCACAGGATGGGCCAGATGAACTATTCACATTCCTTTCTATCCCAGTAAGTTTATGCCATAGCTATGAAATCCAGAAAGATTCAGTGACCTTCCTTCTTCCACTCACATATATTAATACAACCCAAAACAAACTTCAGGTTTGTATCACTCCAAGCCAAGGACCAAATGGCCAAGGTCCATTCCAGCAGTTCCTGTCGCAAAATACTCACATTCACTTTACAAAGCAAATCACGTTCCATCTTGCAGAGGAGAGCGAATGCCTCCCACTTTCCTTTTTCACCCAAAATCCAATGGCCTAAATTGCATTTGGGTGAAAAATTTTCTTCTCAATACAAATCTGATCATAAGATTATAGAACCATAGAATGGTTTTTGGCTGGAAGGGACTCTAAAGATCCTCTAGTTCCAAGCCCCCTGCCCCAGGCAGGGACACCTTCCACTGGACCAGGTTGCTCAAAGCCCCATCCAACCTGTCCTTGAACACTGCAGATAAGGCATCCACAACTTCTCTGGGCAACCTGTGCCAGTGCCTCACCACCCTCAGAGCGAAGAACTTCTTCCTGCTATCTAATTTAAATCTGCCCTTTGTCAGTTTAAAGCCATTCCTCCCTTATCCTATCAATACATGCTCTTGAAAAAGCTCCTCTTCAGGTTTCTTGCTAGCCCCTTTAGGTACTGGAAGGCTGCTTTAAGGTCCCCTGAGCCTTCTCTTCTCCAGACTGAGTTCCAAGCATGTGAGCATGTCCGGAGCAGGTCCACCACAAACACCTCTGGCCAGCTTTTAATCTCTTGCTAATACTGATCTGATAATTCAGAGGAAACTGACACTTAAATTCACCCTAGAAGTAACACAGCCAGATTCAGATGAATTTCAATCAAAATAACAAAAAAAATACTTTCTGACCCTTGCGAGCAACTCAGAAAATCTGGAGTGTGGCATTAATAGACAAATACAATACATGAACAACATACTGAGTGTACTGATGTTGTCTTTATTCCAAGCAGCTTTCCAAATTGGACAAAGCAAGAAAATGCCAACGGGACTGAAAAGGCACAGAATCAGTTTCCGATAGGGGCTTTCCGATTCTTTCATCCGACTCTCAGTGAAAGAACATCCTTAAAAGAAAATCACATTCACCTTGAGGACCCAAAGTTATGACATGCCTTCCCCTCCCCACTCAGAAGCTACCTCCACAGTCAGCCTTCCTCTGATGTCTGCTACCTCTGTTGCCACATCCTGCCACCATGATGAATCATCACTTCAATGGCAGCTCCTTCACACATTAGTCAGGGCTTTTCATTCTTCCTTGGGGGTACCAGCTCCTCACTCCAGCTTTAATTGCTAAGTACTAGGTCAAATCTGCCTTCTCATACTTATTGTGACTGTGAGTTTATGAAACTCCACCACGAAACAGCATAGATTGTTTGCTCCTGTCCTGCTGGGAAGCTGTTGAGACCTTCAGTCCCCTGGTTGTCAGCAACCTCCTTCTTCCTGGCTTCCAGTCCCAATTTCCTCATGATAAATCTTCCCTGACACCAGAAACATGCAGATCAGTAAAATCCTGTGTGTTCAGCTTACCATACCCCAGCATTGTTTTTAGGGAACCACCTCCACAGATCACCACACCGTATGTCCTTCTGCAGCCATATAACTGAATACACACCTTTTGGCAACCAAAACGCCTGCAGATACAGACCAAAACCTATGGTAATGGCACACATCCATCTGCAAACTGAGAAAAACTTGAAGTCTGTTATCTGATGTTTGTGTGCACTCCCATCACGAGTGACACACCACTGTACGATGGGAGATGCCTGCATGTTGGTACTGGGCATTGGGCTGCAGGCAGGATGACTACATACCTCAGGTCAAACAAGTTGACTTTAATCCCGCTTGTCAGCCTTCATTCAGCTCAACATGTTGAGCTCCAGGACAGGTCCCCAGCAAACTGAAGAGCACAGCAAATTACATTTTCTACCAAGACAGACTGGTGCATTTGGATTTTGGGTTCGTTTATCTTCTTCTGTTGTAACATTACAACATTTTGACTCTATCTGACTACTGTGCTGGGGAGACAATAGAAAACAGACCACTTGTGGCCAGAAACATCTATCAAGTTTTAGTATCTGAAAGCCCTCCTTGGACTTGTCAATGCTAATCTGATAACTTGGACATGACCTGCTGTACTACAATCAGAAATGCAGAAGAAAAATTAGCCAGATATTTGTACCTACTATTGGCATGCTTTGTGGACCAAATATTCACCTTTAAACCTGTGCCACCCGTTGGGGATTTACCTTCTGTGGCACTCCCTCAGGGTCAAAGCCAGGCAGCTCCAGCACACCAAGCGGTAAGCCGTGTCTTCCTGAAGGCACTGCGCAAAGGATGAAATTCAACGCATTTAATTGCTTTTGCAATCCATGGGGAGGCCCTAGACGTGAATCAGAGCAGCGTAGGAAGGTACTGCGAGGTAACCCCTCCCACAAGCAGTTGCAGAAGTATTCTTAATGCAGAAAGCAGCCCTTTTGCCTCCTCTTTAAGAGGTGGCTTCGCATAAAATTCCACAACTAGCAAGCCCACCTGCCTGTGCCCTGCCTCAGCGTGCGCATGCCAACACCCCGAAATTAACCCACACACTCCAGGCGCTCAGAGCCACGGAGCGAGCGTACTGCTCCGGCTCAGCGGGCTGCCGAACCCCGTATCGCGGGGATGTTTCGGCAGGGCCGCTCACCTCTCGCCCTGTGTTTAACGCGGCCTGACAGGCGCGGCGGCCCCCGCCACTCCACTGCCAACCGCCCCGCTCCCCCCTCCCCGCACCTCCCCGCGCCACCGCCAACCGCCGGCCGCGCTGACATCACCGAGATGGATTTAAATAGCACCGCAGCCCCCTGCCTCCCGGATACAGCGCACCCCATTGGCGGCGGCGGCAGCCTATGGCCGCGCGGTGCCTCTCCCCTCCGCCAATGGCAGTGCCGCTGCCGCCGCGCACCTCCCCTGTCGCTAAGGGAGGGAAATACATCGCGGTGCGGAGCGCTGTCAGGTGTGCGGGTAGTGCTGCATCCTGCCGCGGGCCGGGCATGGCGATCGGCCGTGGGGCGGGCTGGGTGCGCTTCCTTTCCTTAACCCCCGCCTTGGTTTTCATCCCTGCTAGGCTAGCTGCTGCAGCCAGCCGCGTAGCGCGGCGGGGAGAGGGGGGAGCGTGGAAAGTAGCGATTTTCGCCTTTGTTTTAAGGGCTCCAGGGGAGGTGGAATGCAGGGCAGGCATCGGGCAGAGAGGAGGTCCGCTCCGCTGCTCTGCTTCCCTGGGAAATGCTTAGAAAGGGAGAGACGGGCCGGGGGACTCGCCGGGCTGCGGGGGCTTGGCGGGTATGGACGGCACAGGCATGAAGACGGTGTGAGAGAGAAAAGCACCTGGTGATGGTAGTGGCGGTGTTAGGGGTGGGAGGCAAAGAGACGGAGAGGAGCTGGGTGCCCCGCACGCAGCCGGAGCCTGTGGATGTTTGCTCCCCGCCGAGCCGCAATGGACGCTGCCCGCCGCCCCGCCGCCGCCGCCGAGGGAGAGCTGCTCGCCAGGAGCCGGGGACGGGGGTTTCCTCTTCGGCAACGCTCCGGTGAACTCAGGGTCTGCGGCCGCCCGCAAAGATAGGTTGCGTGGCAGCCACGGCTCGGGCAAATAGGTAAAGACTGCTGTGTAGATGTGCTGTTTGGAGAGGGAAAATAAATAAATAAAAAATTAATATGCGGATATTGGGCCTGGCGCTGCACGGGGGATGGAATAGCCTCTTCTCCTGTGCCTTGTGCGGTGGCGAGATTAGTGTGACGAAAATGAGATCCCTAAGTGAGGCGAGTTGGATACCTGCTGGGTCGAGCAACGCCAGAATTACCTGGGTCTCTCCCTGCCATGCCGCAGCCTGTCACTGCGGGGCCTGTCCTAAAAGCAGACTTTCATCTGTAACAGCATTTATGCTTAAGAGCTGCATAGCACTGTGGAGCAACCAAAATTCAGTTACATTCCAAAATCTGAAAAATTAACTCGTTTCTTTTGCTGCCAAGCTTACAAGCTTGAAAAGAGCTTCCACTGTGCCATCAAGCTGTAACGGGATTGCTTAAAACATTTCTACATGGTTACTGTTTACTGCTTCACACCCTCCAAATATTTCTGACTTGTTTCTTTCCCTTATCCACAATGTGTTAATATGTTGCCTGAATATCCTGAAGATGTCGGCATGCATACTCAAAAGGCAAACGTGTGTGTAAGAACTGCAGGCAAAACAGAGCAGGATTGAGGCATCTCTTGGATTTAATCTCGGTTTCTGCCTATGTTTTAGAACAAGGTGATGAACTTCCTGCCTTGCTGCTTTTCTTCCCCTCTTCCCCATTTATCCTCAAATTAAGAGCAAAGCTTAAGTCACAGTTTTGCTGGGTAGATTTTTTTAGATAAAAAATTCCTATGCAACGTGAAACATTAATTATTGTAGGAGAAGCTGCAAGTACTTACTATAGAAGCCCTGCTAAAAGCAAAAGTAAAAAGAGTACTTTACCATTCCCTGAAACAAAACCACCGAGTTACCAGCAATCTGAGGTGCTTACCTATGTGATGTGATGAAGTTTGTATCAAGGTTTTTCCCTTTGGGAGAGGGAAGCTTGTCATAAGAACACATCCCCCAACACCACCACCACCCCCCCCCCCCTTACTCTTCCCTCCTTCTCCTTACCTGTTACCCCTCTCAGTGAAGGATGAGAACTGTGCAGCCTTGTTTCGCCTTCTGTTGTTGCAGAACTCCTTGGATGAATTGGAAGTAAGCACCAGGAGCATTTGGTGATGTCCGTGGGAGGAAGGCACAAACCACCAAGGCCCCGTTCCCTCCATCTTGAGCCTTCTTCTGTGGTGCTTTGCAGGCAGCACAGGGAAGTACCAAGCACTGACAGACTGAAGTCAGTGTTTAAACCTGACTTCAGCACAAGCAGAGGACCAGGCCTAGAATAGCAGAAGTACTTAAGATGCCTCTTTCAAAAGTTCTGTTTTGCATATCTAAAAATTAAGGAGCTGTTTAGAAAAGATGATGCTCCCCATGTGTTTGTGTTTATTAACAGGAGATGATGGTCTGCATTATCTTACAAGCTAGATGGGTCTTGGGTGAACCTATATAACCTTACTGATTTTGTGTTGATTTAAGTTAGTTAAGGAGCTAATCTAGCTAAATTTTAAATAACTGGAATATTCTCCCTCTCTTCCAGTCAGATTTGCCCTTCATGTTACTTGTGTTTCATAATCCTCCTAGCTCTCCATTTCATCATTACAAGGCCAATATCTCTGTAGCTCTATTGTGAAAAAAAAAAAAAGGAGGAAGAGGAAAAAAACCCTTAAACGATTGTATTTTCACAATCCGATCTTTATTTTCATGTTTAAATAGATTTAGTGCACAAGCTAATCCTTTTTTTTTCTTTTAATAGGCCAATTTATTTTCATTTACTTGCACTGGTATTTTTTAGAGCCAGAAGCTCTCAGGAAGAGAATGTGTCCGATGTACCAGAACCCTTTAGGGTTTTGATAAAAGACATGATATCATGAGTACCATCTCCACTTCTGTTATTCTTATATGGTAGTGACAAGATTGAATCACCATTTTTAGCTGTTTTTCAGCAGAACTCGTAATCTATCAATGTGTCAGCTCAGCAGCAGTTTTCTCTTCACACTAATGTGAACCAGAAGGTCCAGCTATCACTGATTTTGACAATTTTATTTTATCTGAGACTTCATGATTTGCAGAAGTTTGAAGAAAATTAATTGTGGGACCTATTATATTTGTCTAAAGATGTGCAAACCACAAAATATGTCATTAAATCATTTCAAACTCATTTGTACTGGATAATGTTCCTAAGTTAGGTGTTTTACAAGCCTCAGAGTATAAGCACTAGGAAATATTCATGTGACAAACAAGTATAAGCTGAAATGTGGGTCCTGTATTTTTTTGAATGCCTCGGATTGCCCTCTGTGTTGTTACATAATGCATCATAAAGAAATACGTGCCTTCGTTCTCTTTAAATCACTCCAGCATGGATAGTGCTTCCTTCAAGACCTCGTTATGCAAGTCCTTGCTACTGTTAGTAGATGTCAGCCTTGCATGGTTACTTAAAAAACAAGGTAACCATGGACTTTTTGTGAAGCTCCTTGTATTTCTGGAGTTTACAGTGAGTCAGTTCCAGGTGCGTTGCTCCCTCTCTCAACTGTAAACTAAATTATTATGAACAAATAGTTTTCCCCCCATTAGAAGAAAGTCCCATTCATTCCAGTATATTGCAAGGTAATCTGTTTTTTTGTTTAGTTGTTTCTATAAACATATTACATTATGAGTATCTGAACGCACTTCTCCAGAGTCAAAACACGGTGGAATAGACCAGAATGCAGTAATATTGTGAACGTCCATTGGAAAATGCAGGCATGTGAATAAGTACTGAAAAAATACATAGCATAGTAGAAAATCTGTGACCATTCTAGAAAAGCTATTAGATTAAAAAAAATCCATATAGGCATTAAGTACTATTATTTAAAGTAAAATATACATGATACAGTATAAGCAGCATTGAAGTGAAATTTATGAGACGTCTATATAGAACAGAAAGAATCATCTTTTAAAGTTGTTACGATGTTCTGTATTTATTTACTTGGGAAGTGGAATTTTCCCCGTCTTTTTTGTAAAGACATAAAATTAACAACAAGCACTTTAGAGAATTTGGTGCACTGTGTGATTTGTGGTTTTGTTCTTTTACTTTTCCTCTATCAAACACAGCTCATCGGTGGAAAAAAAAATCAGGAGAAACCTGTCTCGGTTTTCCAAATCATGCAGATCTTTCCAAGTACCCTGTCCTTTAACAAGGCCGCAGTTTTAAAGATACTGAAACAGGAATATCTCAAAATCTGATATTCTGAAAAAATAAGATTTTTTTTTTTCTCTCATTTTATGCTTGTAGAAGTGTACAAGTAGTAGCTCAGTGATGTGTCACCAGGAAAGGACGGGTTTGATTCATATTGCACTAGTAGATCTATTAGTTTATTGATCTTCTATTGTATTTTTACATTTTTTTTACCTTTTTGTTGCTTTTGTAAATTTGAGCGTATTAGCTTATTTATTCCCCTTTTGTAATAGTTACAAATACTTGTAGTTATTTTGAAAGGTTCAACTATGTTCTCTTTAGGTTTTAGTATGACACATGGAAAATATTTTTTTTTATTTCTTTTGCAAGCAGTATGGTGGTGGCAAGAGATCTGCACTGTAAAACAGCATACCTACTAAATTGTACTCCAGTGGGAGATTAAGTAAGAAAGAGCAGAATGGCTGAGACAAGTCATTTGTCACAGATGTTCATGCAGTTCTCATGTTTTATTTTAAGCTGGATTCATCAAACATGATAAGGAGTAATTTCTGTACAATATGAAGCTCCCATCCAAGGAGACTAAATGGGTTAACTTTAAACTGTGGTTTGAAAATACAAGGTTATTTTCAATATGGGAAATGCTACTGGGCAGTTGACAGCTTGATTCGATAGCCAAAGTGGACACAAGGAAGTAAATTGGAGAATGCCATTTTTTGTGGTGTTAAAAATATGTCAGTTCAGACGTAAGAAGGAAAATACATCACAAATATATTGCTGTGAAGCAGAGTTACTTCAACTACAAGATGCTTTGGTCTACAAAGCACCAATATTTTGCCATAAACATCTGAATTACATAGATTATAAAGGGTACCGATGCTATTGGAGCAAGCATGAAATCATAGATGTTGATGTGATAACCTCTAATACTGAAGTGTCATTTACTGACTGCTTTTACAGTATTTCATAAGTCTGTAGCATAAGTTTAGTAATATAAACCTAGTGAAAATGCACAAGGTAAGCACTAGTGTAATATTTGCTTCAGATTTTTTAGATGGGCTGATTATCATATTTTATAGAGTGTGAATAAGAAGGCCCAAGAATAAGATTACTTGAAAAAGGGGGTTTAAAAAAATGAATATCAGACTCATTTTAGTTTGTATGAGTTGCTTTTTAATGTTATTTTCCCTTTTGTAAATTTATTTCTGTCTCTTTTCCTTCAGAAATATTATGACCCTGTCCCAAAAAGGAGAAATACAATGGCTACAATTAGCTTCTGTTTACTGGAGCAAGATGATTTTTTTCCGAACTGAAATATAGGCATTAATCTGTTAGACTTCCAGCATTTTTACCTATGGCATTTCTGAAAAATAGATAGCAGTGTCCATTGTAATGCAGTTTACTATGCTGTAACAGCTGTAATCTAGCATTTTTCTCTTCGGTAGTCAAATATTCAGAACTGTCAGACTGTTTGCTTTTAAGTACCTGAAAGCTGAATCAGGACACTTATTTCTGATACAATAAGTTTGGCTTTTCAATTTGTACTTCCTTTTGAGTTTTTTAAGTAAATGCTACATAGACTGATAATCAGAAAAATTGAGGCTTACATAATCAAGCCATGTATTTTTCTACTGTCTTCCTTCCCCCAGTTAGCTTTCATTTTACTCTGAAAAATGAAAAATTTTGAATAGTAAATTACTATGAAATACTGATTATTACACATTTTCATGAGGCTGCATAGCCAAGCTATTTGTATGTGTTTAGTAAAAGAAAGCAGCAAGCAAAATATTAAAACCTTGAGATG